TTGGATTATGTTCATTATCTCGATTGCTTTTATGAATAATGGATTTTCGCGTTTTTCTTACAAGGCAGTGTTCAGTGGACTTGTATATCGGTTCTAACTTGCATCTTTCAAGGTTGTTTAATGCACGATGAATTAGAACGTCTTTGTCCTTGATATTTCCTACGCTCAGCGGAAATTAGACGTGTAGTGAAGAGTGGCATGAGAAATCTTTTGACTTGATTCAGCGGTTGTGATGTAGGATGGTTTTATCTTTCCTTGTGAATTTCGATTTCGTCTGTTTGATAGTATTTTACGTTCTTGATGTCTCTTAAAGTCTGGCACGACACTCAGATAAAATTTTCAACCTGTCTTGTTAAATCAAAAATTAACGTTTAGCCATGGTTTTTTTCTTGATATTTCAAGCGTTAACGCGAAACTATTTCAGTGAGAATCAATTTTGTAGATGACTCGTCTAAACGGATTTCAACCACCTCAGATATTACGACTAGCTTGTCGAATGAGGTCAAAAGCGAACCGCATTGAAAAACCTTCGATCAAGTTGTCTAATGCTCTTCAGTTATTAAAGTTTCAGAGTCTGTCATGTTTTAAATAGCAAGATCTATCGTACTTTATTTTTTTGCGCTTTCGTCCATGTAAGAAAGCATACAATTATTACCCCACCTTCGCTAATAATTGTAGCACAAAAAACGGAAATAAATTTCTATCGTGAAAGAAAATTTTTATTTGTCTGATTTCATGTTTTCTTTTTCGTATCCTTGTGTTTCAAAACGCTGAAATAACCTCTCGTTTTCGCTTGCTTCCGTTTTCTTTCTATGATTTGTTTGCTTTTAGGGAAATGAGTTCAGGCTATTCATCTCGAGGATTCGGTGGTGGATCTTTTCGTCGAGGATCGTCGATGGGAGGCGGTAAATCACGGCAGCAGCCCGGAGAAAATCTGCGAAAACCCCGTTGGGATACCGTAAAACTTCCTCCTTTTGAAAAGAACTTTTACAAGGAAGCACCCTCATCTGCCTCCCGGTCAAGGGGCGAAATCGACCGTTTTCTTCAGGAAAATGATGTCACTATCAAAGGTCGTGATGCCCCGCGTCCCGTAATCACGTTTGAAGAAGCTAGCTTTCCTCGTAAGTAGTTTACTCGTAAGTACTTTACAGCGTATAGATTATATTTATTTTAGCATATATGCGTATGTATGCATGTTAGTGTAGCTTATTGCTACATGTAACATGTATATGCATGTGTCTTCCATAACTTCATATGACCTTTGGTTTAAAAGTTTCTGGCCATCCGATCGCAATAAAATAATGACCGTTTTCTCTCTGTGTGAATTCTTGCTTATGCATGCATAATTAGGCGGTGTATATTGTTCTTTCAGCTTTCACGTTTACTCCTGTTAAAATGAAGAGTAAGGCATAAGAAGCATATTATGTTTCTGGTGGTGTGACCTATGTTTTATCTAGCTGTGTCGACAAAAGAAAATTCTGGTTAACCTTAGCGTAAGACAAGCTGTAAGCACCGTGTAGATTCTTACTATGACTGTAGGCAGCTGTTTTTGTCGCTTTTATATAGTCTTAGTGCATCATTGCAGATCTCACTGATGTTTTGGTTAATTCTTCGGAATGATTTTGACTGCACTGAGTTTGAGCTCTTGTTAAGTGGTTCGAGACCATTTCAGACGGAAATATCCTTTAGCCTAGAACGATTTTTAAGCAGATTACGGAGGGTGTAAAAAATGAAGTACTCTTTACAGCTGCGTTTGTATCAACCCTTTGTAATAACCCTTTGTCATTCATTAATGGTTTTACACAGTCAAAAGTAAAATGTGACTGATCCCGATCAAACGGTAATATCTTCATTATTTTTTGCGTATTCTAGAAGATTTTTTCATGCCATAACTTGCCCTAACTAAATTTGCAAATTTTGTAGCTTACAGTTACGAGCAGCTGAGTCGCAATTTCGAGAAACCAACAGTCATTCAGTCCGTCAGTTGGCCAATAGCTTTAAGTGGAAGAGATATGGTTGGAATAGCTCAGACTGGCTCTGGGAAAACGTTGGCGGTAAGCTATAGTTTAATTGAGTTTGTGTTCTTATGAATATTTTTGCTTCGATGCTAAAACAGTATTTAATTTCCAAACTAAAGAAACGAAAGTAGATAAATAAAGAAACCTGTAAACCTTAGAAACCTTCCAAAATAATACTTGTTGAAAAGCTTAACGTAATAAACATACGTTTCAGGCTTCGAGCCATCTCTTTCTATATCAGTTATTGTTGAAGGTCCATTCTATGTCTTATCGAACAAACGAAATATTTGGTTTAGCTAATAAATTAGCTATTAGTTCTTGCAGATGACGAAATAATAAATTGGTCTCGTGTATACATTTTATGGTTCACTGGCATTGTTCGTAATAATTGTATTGCGAAACGTTTCTACAGTATTTCAAGTGAATGTTTAAAATGCAAATATTTTGTCTTAAATTTTGACAACTTGTTGCTACTGATGTCTGTTAATATATGTACATGTTATAAGCAATGATTTGTGATTGCTTTTAGTTTTTGCTCCCAGGAATCGTGCATATCTCACAACAAGCGCCCTTAGAACGAGGAGATGGACCAATTGTGAGCAAAATTTTCTAAATCAGTGTTTTTATTTAAACCGTTGTCCTTTCAGGTTCTGGTTGTCGCACCCACGCGTGAGTTGGCCCAGCAGGTGCAAGAAATTGCCTTTGAGTATGGCCAGAAATTAAATATTCGCAGCATTTGTGTGTATGGCGGCGCCTCAAAATTGCCGCAACAGCGTGAGCTGCAGCGAGGTAAGAAGCGACCTGTGAGCGAATGGAAATCATTTTTAAAACATCCTTACCGTTAAGGTGTTCATATTTGCATCGCAACGCCAGGAAGACTGATTGATTTTTTGGAAGCGGAAGTGACGAATCTTCGCAGATGCACTTACTTGGTTCTTGACGAAGCTGATCGGATGTTGGACATGGGATTTGAACCGCAGATTAGGAAGATTATTGAACAGATTAGGGTACGCAACAACGTGTAGTTGTTCAGTTTTTATCACCTCCGTTACCGATTTAGTATCTGTTTCTTAGTCATATAATGATTTCAGTTACCAAGGAAATATTCATCATTATTATATTGATAACTAGCAGTTTGCTACTAAATGAAAAATAACGAGGTATATATATATATAACTACGGACAGATTTATTTATTCGTGTTCAAACATGATTCCAAGCGTTGCATGTTTAAAGTGCCATAGAGCTGTGGCCATTGTAGGCGGTCCTCTTGGCTATTAGAAACAAGGGGACGTTTATCTGCGCCATGTAAATCCCCAGAATTGATAGGTAAACTTTATTTTTCCCGTGCGATTGAAAATCAGTAGTTTGCTCGCACATTCATATCACTGGTTATTAACTGAATTATTTAATATTATTGCATGAGAAACTATTACATTGTTGGTTTGCCTGTAAAAATTGTTAAATTGGCCTGTCTTAAGTTGTACCTAATTTTTCGAGACTTGAAAGTAAAATCACTGAATATATCATAGACATTTATTTTGTGTTTGTGTTAAAAGATTAAATTCATTATTTGTTCACTAATAGGTCGATAAATGACAGACCTGAAAACATTATACTTGTTCAGACCTTTTGACGTCTGATTAAAGTTGAGTAGATGAGAATTCTGTGCACTGTGAAGATGTTCCAATAATGCAATGATAAATCTTTACAGATAAATTCTGACAGTATTTTTAAAAAAATGAGTTATTCCAACATGTGTGTTAAAGCGTGTAAAACGATGAATGATTGATTGATTAACAATTCTCCACTTCTAACTTTGCAGACCTCCTTGAGTTGTGCATTTGAACGGGAGAAATAATATTTTGCTTCTCTTTGGGTGAGGTGGTATATTTTAAATGCCACCTCAATAGAAAGCTTACATATAAATCTTGCTTAATTCTATAAGTCAGTTTTTGCAACGCTGCTGAAATTATTCCATTGCTCTTTTATCAGTCTGTTTCTTTATGCCTTAAAACTCGCAGATGTTGGAAAATGCTAGATTGAGGCAAATGTTCTTCGCATTTACCCATGAAAGACGATCAAATGCGGTTCCAAGCCCGCATCATTAAGACGTATCGAATACCCATTGCTGTAATGCCATAGAACTTGAGTTTGGCGAGGCTTGATACCATCGTTGGACCAATAGCCAGGTGCCAAACGCATTATGCAGTGACTGAGCAATCTCCATCTGATGCATGTGTGGTAAATATCGTCCTCAGCGGAATTCTTGAATAAGACAATAATTGCCCTCGAGCAGGAATCAAATAGATGAATATTAGTGACGTGATCTAGTTTTATTTAATGGGAAACCTTTTTAAGTATGAGTGTAATGGTACACA